CAGGAAAAGCAACCCACATAGGTTCAGTAAAGGACCCAATGTCTTGTAACACATTCTCTAGCTGTTTCCCATCTTAATGTTGTTATATTTTACATTCCCTTGATTGATCCAGAGCAAGAGTTATTTGAGATACAGAAATAATGCTTTTAGACCCACCCTAACTTTATTTCAAACACTTTAAATAAGTGAAACAAACTACTATTTCTGCTCTATTTATATAACCTGTAGTCAGATAAAAAAATGACATAGAGCTACCACAGTGCAAACAAACAAAATTTCAAGGACAAGATGCTCTGCTACAGCATCCTCGGGTCACTCAGGAGCTACATCCACATTCCCTTCCTAGGCTGCAGAAAGCCTCCTTAAGATTTTTCCTCAAACAGGAACGCCCTTTAGCATTCTCAGTTCTCTCTAAGGGCCTCTCAAGGACCTGCAGACCTCCTGAGATCCCTTGGCAAAGCACCAGCAGCAGTACAGTGCGGACAGACCATGGCATACACTGCCAGTGACAGATACCACACAGCAGCTTCCCTCATTTCCTGGGGGTCTAGCATTCCTGTCTGTGGCTCTCAGTGAACAAAAATGGACTCGAGATGCACACTGTCTACATATGGGGGGGGGGGGGGGGGGGGGGCGCGATGACCATAAGTAATAAAGCCTAAATTCTTTGATTTGTTTGAAGCACTCTGATACTGTGTCATAACTCTTTCTCTTGTCTTGATGCAGCAAAGAGTGACAGAGATTTACTTCCCTCAAATCCCTTTCATCATTTGGAGCATCCAAAATGATTTCATCAGTATCACTCTTTAGCTGTCCAGCATGAAACAGTCAGGTGATGAACACCTCAGAGCTTTACCCTCCTAGAAATTACTAATTAAGGTAGCTTGGTTTGGAGAGAAGGGTGGCAGATCATTACTTACATGGGCACAGTTAATAAAGCAGTTTCCCTTACTGTTAGATGATCCAGTTCTCTTGCAGCAGGAGGAAGGTATCATCAGTATCCTTAATTAGGTTCTCTTCCTAACTGTACTCCAGTCCCCCTTTCAGACATAAGGCAAATATTAATTTCCACTTTTTTTTTTTTTTTAAATCAGGAAACTAGCAGTAACACTTACCTTCTCTTTGCTTAATATTTGTGGGGTACTTGGATATTATGGAGCTCATCACCCTAGGAAAACCTATAAATAAGGAAAGGCCCAAATCCAATAATCCAGAGGTTCCTTCCAACCTCAACCATTCTGTGATCCTTTCATAATTAAAAAAATTTCCAAAAATTAAGTACCATTTGTAAAATCAATGGCCTATTTTCCATGATTAGCTACTAAGCAGTCTAAGCAGTGCTTTTTTTTTTTTTTTTTTTTTAAAATAGAAGCAAAGTATCTTTAGTTGCTGGGTACAGGGGGAAAAAAGCCTTCAGTACTTGTGCAATATTTATATTCTAGAAGTTAGGCAGCAATACACTCATCTGCAATTCTGCTACACAAGATGCAACTAGAAATGACCGTTCATCTTTTGTCACACTGGGAACTAGAACTCCATTAACAAAGGTGTGACAACAGACTTTAGCAAGCACTTGCAGTGTGCACATACCAGAGGGACAAACATTGGTGACTTACATTCATCATGCAGTTGGGCCATGCAGGAAATCACAAAATAGATTAAAAAAAAGTAGTCAGCCTTCATTATTACAGTCTTTCTACAGGAGCTCAGAAGGCCATGAATTTAAAGAAGAGGGAACGTGTCATGTTGGATACATGTTATAGGTCCTTGCTGAAATGGAACAGTCTTGTTCTAGCTTTCAATGCCAACCGAAATACTGCTGGAATTATCCACTGTGCTAGAATTATGAACTATGCGTTCAGACCATTGAGAAAAGCAAATGCTACAGAAAAGATATTAAAGAAGAAATGCACGTAGTGATAGATACAAAGCAGCAAAGACATACTATATGTCCATGATTATCTGGCCTACACAGGCCCTCTGTCTAGAGCTATAGAGGAGACTGCAGAACCTGCCGGAAATGCCAATAAATCCTTACAAACATTGCTCTTAAGTATTGCTGTTATGTAATTCAGTGGTGCTACCTCAAGAAGGAAAACTTACCCGACGCCTAAATTCTTCTGTGTGAAGGTAGGACAAATCTAAAGAATTCATGTGCCCCAAAGCACTTTCAATCCTACAAAATCTACAGCAATCCCTTTCTGTGAGGATAACTTCCATCTAAATGAAAGATTGCTTTTTGAAATTTAAGTCCTTAAATAGTTAAGATATGTGCCATGATCTTTATGGTTCTATAAGTTTTAACCTCTAAAGATCTGAGGATAGTTGGGACTGTAATCAGAAAGACTGTTTTTCCTGGAGCATGCCTGCATGTTAAAAACAAACAAACAAACAAAACTAGTAACCAAAAGTCAATCTTCAAATGACGGAATGGCTACGGAATATACAGTAACTACCTTATGAGACCAGTATACTCCTGTTAAGTTATTGGACAATGCAGTTTCCTTTTTTATTTTTTATTTTTGTTCTCAGTTTTTGTTTGTTGTTGTTGTTTTACTTTGTTATTTTTACAATTAAGGATGTGCTGTTTACACCCCACAAGAAAAAGCAGAAAGAGTCCTTATGGAAAAAAAACAAATATATTGAACACATACCAATCAAATGGTACAGATATGGGACTGGCTTTGATTTCAAAATTTAAGTAGAAATAAAAAAAAAAAAGATGTAATGCAACAGCTGTTCAATTTCCAAGTCTAAATAGGCACTGTAAAAAGACATTTCAGCTTTCTCCAGCACACATTCCTGTCTAAATGCTCCCACTGTAATCAACTCCTGGGTTCCCAAACAAAAAATCCCTGGGAACGTAACCTTAGAGTAAAAGTCAATATCCATCCACCCACCCTCTTACAAAAAAAGCAAACCAAAAAAATCCCCCAAAATACAACCTTTCAATGCTGCTGTTTTGACTGGAGCAGAATTGGAGAATTTATAAAGGTTCAAAAGCACCCAAGGCAAGTAGTACAATATAATTTGTTCACTAACGTGTATTGGAAAGGAGATTAAAAACATTGAGATCTGCATCTTGGTACATAAAACTGTTGTCCTGAATAAAGAGAAATCTTTCAGAAAAGTTTTACAACTTGAAAGTCCAGGACCCAGCTTTAGGCATCATTAACCAATGGGATTTAATTCTGACTTGGTTATAACCACTTTTATATACTGTACATCTACCCTAGTTGGATCAGTGTCTGGAACTGCTCACTGGTGTCCCTTTGAACAACTGTAAACTAAACCTTAGTATGCAACTCCATAGGAAGCTAGAGATCAGGTGAATATACAGCCAGTTATATTTCCCCTGCTTCACGCTCTTCTGAGCTCCTCGGGTCTTCTGATCGGCCATTAGCACTTTCATAAGAACGTTTCTTGTCTTTGAAATCTCGGGGTGATCTTTCTCTTGAGCTTCTATCCTTATCACGTGATGTTCTATCACGATCTCTTGAACGTTCTTTGTCTCTGGAAGATCTTTCTTTTGAGGATCTGAAAAGTGCAGTATATTTGAGAATTCAAATTAGTCATGAACTTGTAGCTGTCACAACAGCATTTCAATTGTGTATTTCTTCTTCTTATTCTGATCCAAATTTAGACTTATATTAACATGAATGTCTGAGAAGACATCAGAAGCCGTTCTACTTTTCTCCCTTCCCCACTTCCAATTTCAATATACAAATACTGATAGAAGCAAAATTTTTAAGTGTACATTACTGAGCCCAGATTAAAGTTAACTTGCTTCATTAAGTCTCTTAATTTTCAACCTCTGCCCGTTTATAGTCTTTAGCTTGAGAAGAACGTGTAGCAGAACGCGTAGATGTGTAGGTAAGTCTCTAATCAGCTGACAAGAACAAAGACTGACCTTCATGCAACAGCATAGTGACATGGAAGTTTACACAATTGCACCAGCAAGTAATATTACCACAATAACGCTTTCAAGAGAACTAAAATACCATTCCTGCCTCCTTCAAGGACAAGGTATAGCCTTTAAAATTAGAGGCTCGCTAGGTTTACCTTATTTAGAAGGCTTGGAAAGGATTATTTCGCAGCTAGCCAAATAGATACTTCCAGTAGAAACACCTCCCTGCCCCCACCTGATATGGAGGCAATAGCTACCCTGCCAGATGTACTAACTGTGAATCTGTTTATAATACGCGATACTGGTTCCAAGTCAGTGGATGCTTGAATTTCTCTTAAGAGAAAAACCATAAGTAGCCTTGGCAGATCAGGTCTTAGATCTGGAAAAGTAGAGAAAGATGTAGATATGACTTCAAACCTACCAAGAGGAAGATATTCAACCAAAATCCTAGTCTGCTTTTTTATTAATAATAAAGAAACCTAAATCTTTGCATTTCTCTGCTAAAGCAGAGAATAAGCATAGGGCTAGAATATTCTGTTGTCAATATGGACTTGAAACATACTGAAGAAATATTTCTGTCTAAATTCTAAGAGAAGTCTATCTCATCATCCAGCTGTAGATGTCTACAGACATCTAAGCTGATTGATCAGATTTCCTTAACAGTCAACAGAAGAAACGGACGCTTTTAGGGCATGATTTGTCTCATCTTAAAATAGACACAAAAATAGGTTAGATGAGCCTGTAATGGGACTCATGAGATTTACATTTGAACTCGTCATCTAAAGCTAGGTGAAATGAAGTCCCACGTTAGGTCTTTGGGTACTCTATTTGATCATATGATGTCTGCATGGGAATACATTATCCCTTGTCACACAAACTCTTGCAAGTGGGCTCAAGCACAGACACACTAACTTCTCTCAATAAGGAGATCTAAATGACGAAAGATGATTCATTTTAGTTCTTTGGAACTTCTAGTTTGCAGTGAGTAAAAGGAAGAGTTTATTTAGACCTGCTCTTGATAAACCAGTAATCCAAGCCTGGAAAGACCTAGGGTTCCCATTATCTTAGACACGTTGCTACTACTGCCAGATGCTTTGCACATGTTCAGTGGTGTTGAGGCAATTTGGAGGTCAGCTCTTTATATTGTTAAAGAGCTGGGATCTCACTTCAAAGGTAAGAGACTTAAGTTTATCCACCTATTTGCAGGGTGAATAATGATATGGAGTGAAAAAACGACATTTGTCTGAACATGAGACAAATTTACGTATTTGTAGAATTCACTCAAATAATAACACACAAACATCTCTTTACTTTCAGAATGAAGAAATGCCTGAGAGGTGGCAGCTTTTCATTTTATGTGAAAGGCTCTTCAGAAAATGCTTTCTGAAGAGGGTGAACAGGAAAGGCAAAGGAACTGGATATGTTTGTTGCAAACGATGGTACCTAGCATCTGTTTCCTGTGAAAATGTTCAATCACCTCTGGGAAAAGGGATTCCAGGAGAAGCACACTATTAAGAGTCTCTCCACTGGAAGTCTAATTGCCAAGTATGATTACATGTTGAAACCGTACTGGGTATGAGCAAAACTAAAAAAACACCATCTATATAGCTTTTAGAACAGGATTCGGGCGGGCTACAAGACTTTAGCTAAGACTACTGGGTATTTTATGGTATTCTGACCATCCTAGAAGTCACACTGAAGGCTTTAAGTTAATGTAAGATGATGCTCTTCTCACTGAGCAACCACAACTCCACACTTCTCTCAATGGCCCTAGAAAAGGCAAGACGTGCTGCCACCGCTGCAGCCTGCAGAGGTCTTTCTGCTGCTTCTAAAGTCAAACTCTCCCAGAAGAGCAGAGGATGACAAAAACATTATGTTCCTCAGATCTGAACTTCTATTTGATAAGAATCCTGGAAAAACGAAATCAGAATAATTTTCTTTGCTTGCTGCGAATGAGTGAAAAGTAATAGAATTCAGGGCACAACATTTCAACTTCATGGCACTCAACACTGAAAATACTTCCACTGAGGTTAGTTCTTGCCCTAAAGGAGTTAGAAGGACCTTTGTTGGAACAATCCTTGGTACATACAAGAGTTTTGGACTACCATTAACAGGAGAAAAAAATTGCTCTGCCATCATTATCAGCTCATACCTCTTACTTCCCAAAGGAACAAAGAATCAACACAATGTTCTTTGCAGAAGTGGAGAAGTTCGGTCTTCTTCAAAGTTGAAGAATCAAAGACAATTTGAGCACATGCTACATAATGGTTTAATCCAAGTGAACAAATGTATTCATTCATCAAGGGAAAATGTCTATATTAAGACTGAGAAACTACAAGTTTGAAGTTTTGCTAATCTGCCGTTGTGAATGTCTTGCAAACTAAGCCTCTACAGGATAACTGGGAGGACAGGCTACAATCAAGATGGAAATTGCCGAGTCCATAGCGTTGACTTCAGGATACTAAAAGACATCCTGAAGAATTTAAAATACCAAACGCTACTGACTGTATCACTTGGTGCACTGGACTCTGAAGTTGTATCCAGCTGCCATACAAGGAAGGAAGCAAAAGACTTGTAGCAACCCTGTCTTTTTTGCTCTCATACAGAGCATAATGGGACTACAGAGTCAGCTACTCCAGGAAGAAAAAAAGCTTGCCTCAAGGGCAAAGAGCAGATGAGATACTTGAAAACATTCAACAAGTATTTCTCCAACCTTGGTGATTTAGCTCCTAGAATTAATTGAACCACAAATCCTGGATGTGCGGCCACATCAAACCTGATCTCTTCTCTTCTTGCGAGTCCACAGCGCATCAGGGTTTTAAGGCTGGACACCCTGTCTGCTGTATTGCACTGCCTCTATGTCGCAGTTGCTGACCTTTACAAGAATGGAATCCTGCTTACAAGCAGACTTCCCTGCCAGATGCCCAGCTGTGCAATTCTAGCACTCTTCCAAATTATGCTTACCTCACTCATCTAAAATAAGCTATCATTCCTCAGAAGCAGACAGCAACCGAGTCATTTGAAAGCAGCAGCCCCAGATCGCTCTCTGTAGTAATCCTTCAGAGAGGAGTCAAGTCACTTTCCTTGCAAAGCAACATCTTCATATTCAATGCAACAAGCTTTTTTCTTTTTTAAGCACATCTAAACTTGACTTTATCTGGCACAGTACACAGCTAACAGGCTCCACCTCTGGAATAAGAGCCCAAAGGGAAAAAACAAATGGGTGACAGTAAAAAGACTGCTTACATCCCTGGGCTCAAATAGAGATCAATTATTTCACCTTTTATATTGCAGGAAGCTGACAGCGTTATCAACTTGACACCAATACCCTGTATCACTCCTTGAAAACAGAAATAATATATAACCCTATTATTTTTATTGAAAAATACAATCACTACTCTGTGTTAAATCACAAACATGCTAAAGGAGTAACCAAAATCTCAGACAGCCCCCAAATTTAAATTTTTAAGTGCTGCAAGTAAACTTAATCTAGTTCAAGAATTCTCAATGTCTATCTAGGAAGAAAAGTCATTTCTTTCTAGACCAGAGTTTACCTTTTTTTGGAGCTGCGTTCTCGGCTTCTCTCCCTGGAACTATGCCTGCTTCTATGGTGGCTGCGGCTGCGGCTCCGGCTGTTAGAGCGAGACCTGTGACGATGGCGTTTCTCACGGGATTTGGAACGAGTTCTTCTCTTTCGTTCCCGGGAGGCTGAACGAGACCGATGCCTGCGACGCTCTCGGGATCTAGATCTAGGAACAGAAAGGACTTAGAAAGGACACTGTATTCACCTAGCTACTCTATCAACGCATTTTGAGCATTAGGCGCTCTACGCATAAGCAGGTTTACAGAGAGAACTGTCTACAGTGTTTAGCGCTATGGCATTGTCCTATCACAGGCAAACACAAAGAGAGGGGAAAGCAACATTAGAAAGCCTACAGACTCCTCTGTAACCAATGCAGACAATTTTACAGCTGATTCATGACCATATGTATGATTAGAGCACAGCCAATTCAGGTTTTGGAAAAGAATTACAAAATGGAAAAATTCTGCTTTTTGTTTGAAGTCTTCTATTTATCAGACAAAGTTTTAGAACTTGTCAATGCAGTGACAATGATCTTCTGGCAGAAGTTGTGCATTATGACGTCCTGAGATCACAGGACTATATTTTTTTTCCAGAGCTACTACAGTAAGACTAGTCTGGAAGGTTCTAAACATCATAGAGGTTCATGATTTTTTAAAAATTTTTTAATCACCTTGCAATAATACCTCATTGGTGACTTTCAACTGTAGGTTAGGAAGAAAATCGATACTATGGAGATGGGTCATCTGCCAAGACTTAACTTGGAGCTTGGGATTTAAATACGTGGGTTTTCACAAAGAGACATTAACCACAAGCGTCTATTTGGAACCAGAAGTAATCCTCTATGTTCCAGCCATTACCAGAGGACAAAAAGCTGCATCGCAGTAGCCACAGATTAGACATACATGCATAAACGATTTCAGTAACGCTGAAATAATGTTTAACAGGTGATAAACGCTGTATAAACACCCAGAAAGAGGATCATATAGGATGCTTTGGTCAGTAAACAAGGGCATTGTAAACTAATAAAGCTCGATAAACTCATCACGTTCCCAGCTTGCGAAAGTTTGGCTTCACTGATGGTATTCCTTGTCTGCAGATTTATATACCTTTTGGTATGCTTGCTATGGGATCTGGACCTGAAACAAATGGAAAATGGTCCATCAACTTTTGTTACAGAATCTTATTTTTAAATATGGAGTACAATTTACTAATAACAAGTTGAACTAGTTGATAACAGGTTGTTGAACTACTTGTCCTGTTATTGTATTTCTTAACAAAAAAGTTCAAGGCCTTTCATTTTATGTTAACATCTTTGTAACCTATTTACTAGGAAACATGCCCCTCGGACTGCTGCTGCTTTTTATTTTTGAGCACACCACACTAAAGAGCTAACCTGCTATTTTACTCGCAACCCTCCCACAAAAAAGCTTACAGTTAAAATAGACTGTACTCCCTTATTTCTTGTGAGACACAAAGCATCAAGACTGCAACAAAGATGTCAAAGTTTACATCATTAACCTCTGAAACCCACGTCAAAATCTCTAATATCATCTGTCAGCTCTCAAAATAAGATACACATTTGAAATAATACATCTCATTTAAAGGCCGTTTTTTCCAGATATGTAGAAATACTTGTAATTGCTCATAATTTTAAAGAAGCAGCTTTCTAGAGAAACAATCCAGGTTTTAAGAGTAAAACATTAACTTCACTTTCAATCCATTTAAGTTTTCAGGAAATAAAACTTATTGTGATTCTGCAGTTTTAAAAAAGTGTATATAGACCACATCACAGTTTTTACGTGAAACAATTGGTCATTATGCATATGCAATTAAAGTAGAAAAAAAAAATTTCCCTCTCTTCTCTACGTTTCAGACGTTCCTGATTTCGTTTCTCTTGTTTATCAGCCACAATCCTCTAAAAACAAAGGAATACATTCAATAAGTTACACTCCAAAATTTCTCAAATGAAGGTGCTATAAAAATAACCTAGACCATTAATGTTCAGTCCTTTCCCTGATGTATACTCGTGTACATTACTCCCTCTCTCTTCCTCAGCATATTTGACTTAATTTTTTCCAAGACATACAAGTTATTGCAGAAGAGCTGCAGCAAACAGAGGTACACCAAGACCTGAAAGATGTAAATTTATATTAATTAAAAGTTTCTCATGAAGGGGAATTCAGAGTACTAAAGTCATGTCTTTAAAGTGAGAGCTTCCATAACAATCCTATCATATTTTGGCCACTGGTGAAGGAGAGAAGGGAATCAGAACTGGGACTGTTAAGAATTTCATTAACTCCTTCAGCTATACTGTCACATTTAAAAAAAAAAAAAAAAAAACCCACCACTCTAAAAGGACTTGGTTGGGCGGGTACCTAGTTTTGAGGCTACTTTTCCTCTATTGTGAGCACGAGATGTATAATTAGAAAGGATGCTTTAGCTGACAGCCCCCAGGTTGAACTCACTACTACTGGGGACAAGGCACGCTCAGTAGAGGGCCCTCAAATGTGGAACTCACAACTGGAGATCTGGCCAAACCCAAGTCTTGCCACCTTCTGGACATGATGCAAGAAATTCAACTCTTTGTAAAGACCTTCTTCTGAGATGTGGAATTGCCCCAGCAGCATCTTGATTAGATCTCTGAGGAGAGCTCTGAGGAAGGAGGGGATAATTATTGTTTTCTTTTTTTGTTAGCGAAGTAATTCAAAAGATTATTTTATTGATGCTTTGGGAATGTGTAAGAATCATCCATGCATAATTTTTTCAAATTATGTAAATAATCAATTATTTAAACCCTTTGTGTCAAATTATATCTATACTTCCTCATATAGTATCAGAAATTTAACTGTACGCAAGGTTTCCTGTTCAAGTGAGTGTTTGCACAATTTCACAGAGCGATGAGAGGAAACACATAACATACATCTAAGACGTTCTAAGATTTGAACTGCAGCAGCCATATTTAGGAGCCTAAACTGCCAGTACAGTCAACGGAAAGAGTTAAGGATCAGTCACAGTGACCATGTAAGACAGCTGGAATATTATGAAATAAGCCAAGCTGATTTATTCAAACTCAGTAGCAGCATTTTCTGCTTTTAGGGCTCCAACCCATTTAGACATGGTCTTTAGTAGTGATTTCTACAGTAAAATGCCTAATTGAGCTTGAACCCCAGAACTTGCATATTAAGACTATAAAAGGCTAAGTGTCCAAGTCCATTCTCTTGAATACCCAAAGTATAGAGCTTAATTCCAATAATTCCTTCCTCAAGCACATGATCTCTAGTCAAGATAAATAGTGCTGTTTGAGAAAATATTCCATCTCAATTTCAAAAACTTCAAGCTAGGGAGAACATGCAACTTCCCCGTAACAATTATTTTAACTGGTTAGTCTCACTTCAACATATACACCTTTTTGCATTCTGACTTTGCATAGCTTCAGCCTTCCATTGTTGGAACTTACTTCACCTATTGCCAGTTAAGCCGAAAAGCCCTGAACTACTAACAATCTTATTTCATTGTTGGTACCTCTAGAATGAAAGTCACCTCCTAAACTTTGGAGGAAATAAGCATACTGAGTTCCTTTAGTCTTTCACCATACAGTAGGCTACTTCATCTCCAAACATTTCTGTATATCTTTTGTTATGTGTTAACATTCTCTTCATGTGCTGGTACCAAAACTGAACACAACATTTCAACAACAGCCTTATTCATATTTTGCCCTAAATAAAGTAAAATAAAATATGACTTCCTTAGGCCCACTATAAGTTCCTGTATTTCCAAGAATCTCCTTATTACTTTCAGCCAATAAACTGGCTAAAGGTAAGGTTCATTTGGCTATCTCCTATGACTGAATTTGTTTCAATATCACTATAATTCAGAATAGTTCCCAAGTGGACCTACACTCTTTGTTGCCAAAACACGTTACTTTGAACAACGTGCTTTAATCTATCTCAGTGCAAAAGAGGCCATCTTATAAGTTATCTAGATAACTCTGATATTAAATGAGCACGTTCAATGTTTTACAGATTGATGAAATACCTCAAATTTTAAATTAATAAGAAAAAATCCACGCAGGAAGAGAAGTATTCCTTTAAGAATGCCAGGTAAACAGTTAAGTAGAAGCATAAAAAAAAAAATATAGCAATGATTTACCCTGAGTTCCTCAAGCTTCTCTCTTATTTCGATAAACCCTAAATGTAGTTTTCCTCCAAAGTGGTCAGCAAGTCGTCGGTCGTTGTCATGAAGACCGAGATAAGCAGAACATACTTCACAAACCCGTAGCTTCTGCTGTTGAAAGCTGGAGGCAGGCATAGAATTCCTGTATACTTCCTGGAAAAAAGACATTTTGAAAACTCTTACTCCTCAATGCACAAAAATACAACGATTATATATATTTAACAGAAGTGTATTAGTTTTGATAACTGAATTCAATATCAGCATGATTTTAGTCATACTATTCTTAATTCAACTGCCTGATTAAAATATAGAGTAGGTTCACGGTTTTGAAGATTTGACATATGAAAAATAAGACATTAGCAATCGGTTTTGCAAATCAAACCAAAAGAAAGTGATTATCGTCAGATTGACATTTTTTGGAAGTAATGCAGTCTTCTTTCTCACACTCAACACAATGAATATACGCTAACATTACAATTACTATATGTTAACAGATTATGAAAACATTGAACCAGTTTTAATACTGAACCCAGTTAAAACAGTAGCTTTTTGATAAATCTAGTTTCATTTTAGTCACTAGTTTAATAACTTAACTGAGCAAAATTTACCTACAGATGACATACACGTGAGAGACACAGCAACATCTCTGGTACCATTTCAATAGCTGCAGATGTTTGTCCCTACAAATTTAAGTATTAAGGTGAAATCTGATATGGAAAAGCTCTTGATGAGATTTGCCACCTCAACATTACAGCAAAGTAAATTACTTCAAATTACGTCGACCTGCCTGATACACAAGCCATCGAAGCAGTATCTTGCAACGAACACGCATAGCGGTGGCTGGAATGGTACCTTTCATTGAAGCATTTCTGTTACCAGCCACACTAGCACACCACAAGGCATGAGGGGGTTGCCAGCAAGAGCCATGGGACTGAATAAGATAAATCCGTCCAACAAATACGGACCCGACTGTAGTGTCAAACACACACAATTAGCCAATACAGCTAAGCGAAGCATCACCACTGGAAGTGAGTATCATTTTAACAGTACAGGAATATATTTAAAGGCATACTGAATTAAAAAAATACATGGATTATTTCCAGAGCTGTCCTCCAGACCAAACAGTATAAACGCACCGAAACTTCTCCTGTATACGACGCCACAAAGCAAACTCCTCAGTTTTAAGTAAAGTAATTAGCTAAGAAAGCGCCAGCAGCTAAGACAGCTCATATCACACAGATGCTGACTAATTTAATACTGGACCCTGCCCTCCCTGCCCCCAAGCCTTACGTTATCAACTTACTTCTGCTTCTCTCTTCTTTACTCGGGCCTTCTCCACTTCATCCATTACTTTCTGAGATTCTTCCACATTCCCATCAGCTCCCAGCTGCTCTACTTTGGCCAGTAGTTTCCCAATTTCTTCATTCAATTCATGAACTCTTTCAGCCTTGAAAGATAAGGAAAGGATCAACACAAGAAAAGCTTGAGAGTTAATTTTGGGAAACAAAGTCAAAAACCTTCAATCCCTATTCAGGAGCCATTACTATATGCAAAATCCATAGGCTAGAATCATTGGAAACATGCAGAGATAAGACCTCCAGGTAAAAGCGAGACAGAAGTTAATTCATGTCAAAACACACAAAGAAAGGCTAAGCTGCCAAATCTATGTACCAATGCCAGAGCAGGATTCTGTTCAGAAACTTGTAGCTATTCATGCTGTTATCTATACCACGTACACACCTGCAAAATTTGTGCTCACACTATTTTTCCTGGCATGTGCGTATATGTATACAAAAGTGATAAAACTTTTTTTTCAATTAAGAACTAGAGAAAAGCACATCAACCACTTTTTACTTCACAGATGAGGTTTTCATTAAAAAGTGTAAGGATTACCAACATTTTTGTAGCAGGGCATCACAGAGAAGCAAGTTTCCTGAGCTGGAAAACATAGACAAGGTCTCTTCTCTGTGTTCTCTCCTCCCTGCTTTAGAGGCAGGTTTGGGTAGGAGAAAGATTACTTTCCCCTCATATGCATGAATTCTCAGATGGGATAGCATGCCAAATTCTGAAGTTGGCTCCTTAGAAAAACACCGCATTTTAGCCAAAACATTCAGTCTTGTACAGAGTTCAGTTCCAGTCGCTTGTTATTTAAAAAAAAAAAAAAAAAAAAAAAAAAGCAATCATGCTGCAAACATTCCCATTCAGCAACATGCAGTCGCTCAAAAAAGCTTCCGTAACTAGTTATACACGCTTACCTTAGCTGCAACTTCAGCACTGATCTCTTCTTGGGTTTCTGCTAGTCTTTTCTTAGCCACTTCTGTTCTTCTGTCGCAGTCTGCAATAAATGATTGCAGGTGGTCCATTGCCTACCACACCAACAAAAATATTTATCAGTGCTGTAAAGAACATGAGTATTTCATTAGCCTTAAAACATTTTCTTGGTTTATTGGGAGGAACTTTTAGAAGTTTTTTTAATCTAAACCTTTGGAAAACAATATTCTAACAGTGCATGACAGGTAACGCCATTAGACAGTCCAGTAACCACATATATTCATGCTAACGTTTTTAAAGTCACAGTTTACAAGTATTTGCAGAAATTTGTATTGAATCTCCCTCCAAATCTTCTTCCCTAGGAAGAAGGGAGCATTCATAACATGCATTAAAATTCTGCAAAGGATACTCAGGTTCAACTCCCCCAGCCGATACATGCAATACTGTAACTTCTTTCTGCTAGTATTTTAAGCTGTTAATCATATCAACAGCCTCCCTCCCAAAACAACACAAAACACACACACTTTTCCCCTAGTGAAGACTAACTTCCTAGCTGGGAGTTCACAACTTTATTATTCAAACTATCATGTACTGAAACATAAGATTTGTCATCCCCAATAAAAAAAACCCAGCAACACAGTTTTCTTCAGCAAATACGTAAAGAGTCTTAACGTCTCTCTTCAAGACGTACATGGCATTAGCATTTGCTTGCAGTTTGATAACACTATGACAACATCCAGGTTTAGGATATTTTTCTGTGGAGACTTAACAGATCTACCTAGAGATGACTACCAATGCAAATTTAATATATACAATCATGATGAGCCATGTAAGTATTTGAATAACTATGTAAGGCTTTCTCTATTTCTACCTACAAAATAAACAATGTAAATGTTTTTGAAAGTTATGTACCGAAACTAACTTTTTTGCTCAGTTTATCTACAAAGATACAGAATTTATGGTTTCTCTCCATCATTAGGACAAAATACATACATCAAGTTCAAAGAAGAAATCTTGATCTTTCGATGCTATTTCATAGTCTGCCCTTAACGCCAGGTCATGCACTTTCAGACATTCTCCAAGGTCCATCCTCTGGAAAGAGACAGATGGAAAGCAGCATAGCTTTATTGAAGTATTACTAAGAATCGAGTTAGCATAATTTTCTTTAGCTGTGAAGTATTCTAAAGTAAATAATTTCCCTTATGGGACTGAAAGGGCATTTAAACAAACCTGTGAGACAAAACCAGATCTTTAATGAGCATGCATGAATCAGGAAAAAAAATGAAGTAGACAGAGGGAACCATTTATCCAATCATTACGGCTGCAACCTGCTTATGTTACGGAGTATCATTAAAGTCCTGCAAAAGCATATTTTACTAGAAGTTCAAAAAGTGACTGAAGTGGAACTAATCCTGTATTGAGTTAAAACAACTGAGGAGAAACAAGTTCCCTGCAGATAACTGGCAAGTAAAGGTTAAATGCTTGATCTGAACTCTCTATACATTCTATGTTATAAATGTCCTGGCCACAATCACCATCTGAAATAGCTGCAACCACAGCTCATTACAAGTGCTGTTTAAAAAAAAACATTCTTAGAGCACTTAAAACAAGGTCGCCAAAACTAAGTCCCTTCAGAACATTTTGGTAAGGAGCAGAAACAAGTTGAGTGTTAAAGTCCTGAATGAGGAAAGACAGAGCCTAAGTACTTGACTTTTAATCTAAAACCATTCTAGAAAGGGCAGGAAGGAAGCGTGAGCGTCAATCAACAAAGACTGCATCACTATTCTTTAATCTTCTGTAGAATGCCACTGAGCATCCAGAGTCCTCCTAGGTAATAACTACTGTTTTTAAATTGAAATTTGCATACTATAAAGCATAAGGAATTATAATGAAATATGCTCCCTGGAGGTTAGTCTGGTGATCAAGACAGAATAATGTAAAACACAACAACAAAAAAAAATCATAATGAAAACCAAATTAAACAAAAACAAGGCACCTTCTCTGCGAAAATCAGATGCTGATGTTTAACACTGATATTTCATTGAAAGTGAAATTATTTATCAGTATTGCTAAAAAACAGAATACAGCTTAATGTCATTCACTGCTGTTGGCACTGATCACTTCATTAAGGAAAAATTGTTTCTTGATACCAAAAGCATATAAGGAAAAGTTGGAACTCTGATAGAAAATCAATTTCTCTTGTAGTTTAATAGCAGTTTTAGAACCAAAAATAAATAATTAGCTGCTTTGTTGTGATTTTTTAAAATAAAAGACGAGTGTTAAGTCAGAAACTGCAGAAGTCATCTGGTATCTGAGCCTAGAGCGCTAAAATTAAAACAAACAAAAAGCCCCAGAAACTTGCATTTAAGTAGCTATTCAAGCTTCACAAGTGTAGTGCGATAGCAAATACTAGTTGCTTTCAACTGCTTAAATCAGTCAGATGTTCGAACAAATCCGTTTAAGTGAGTTTTTACAGAAGTTAGTGGCTTATTTTAAGTATTAAAAATGGACAACCCACTGTTAAAAGTGCAGAATCTTGAACTAAATCAACCAAAGCTTTTGATGAACTATAGTTATTTAAATACTCTTCAGCTTATTAATGCCACTGTAACGTCCTGTTTCCAGGAGAACATCTGCTTTAAGTCTAAAGAAAAGATTCCTTAAGTTACTACAGAGAACCTTGGCGATTTTGTTAAGTGAGGTAAATCCATGAAGACCTGGAAGCTGAGCAACAAACCACCTACGTCCACTTTCCACGTCAGCAGACGCCAACGTCACTGAAACCACAACATTCTTTCAGGCGACTATTTCAGTACAAGCAAAACAATATGAAAGAACATTTTAAAGTTATTTAAAAATTAGGTGCTTAAGCATTCTCCAAAATTTGGAAAAAGCTTGTCTTTATGTTGATTCATCACTTGCACTGATGCAAGTTATTTAAGGTTGAATTGCAAAATTCAAGGCTAATCCTTTAAGTGTAGCCCTCCAGTTCTAATTGCATAGGTAAGGCTAGTGACACATTTCAAGAGATCTGAATATAATGACAAAAAAGCCCTGAAACACATCCACCATGGTATCAAAATAAACTAACAAGTCAAATACTTGTATTTTCTGAGACCTTTGAGTAGGTAATCGAAATACACTTTGAACAGTATATGAAAAACTTCTTCACACCCTAAAAAACCCTGTAGAATTCACATGACATTACTATGATGACACACTGTTCACTTCACATGATTTTTTATGTTCCTTTCTCATCTATTCAGACTGGATTTGCTCTCGTGGGGACAGTATATCTTCTAGTTTCTTCTTTTCCTGTTTCTTACTGCAACTTCTAAACCCATACCCTGAAAGAATTGTAATTACTTTGAGCCAGCATTACTACTGAAAGAAGTTCTGCTCTCCCTTTATCACTATGCTGTGCCTCCCCTATTCTGGCACATCTGCCCGTGCAGTTGAACAAGATCAGGGAATTTACTGGGTAAAACACAACTTAGCAAACAAAAAAAGGAGGCGGTTTTTCAGCACTATCAGTACCTTTGTCCAACTTGCTAGCCGACCCACAAACAGGCATGCTGACAATGTAATATGTAAGGGACAGTGCCAGAGTGGAACTGAGCAGGTAGGATGTCTTACAGTCTCAGGATGCCATTTCAATATCCCTTAAATAACTTCAGTAATGATAATAGCTGCAATTTGTGGAAGGTTGGGGGAAGGGTAGATTTTTGTTAGATAATAGCTCATCAGGATAAAGGAAATTTTGGATCCTCTCCTCTCCTCTTCTTTTAACATCTAGATCATTTCAGTTGTCCGACTTAGAGCATGGCCTTATAAATACTCACATGGTATGAACTGAGAAGGAGCAAGAATAAGTAGATATGAGTAAGAGAAAATGATTAATTTTCATTAGTTTTGCTGCTAAAGAAATCTTATCATTGGAACTGCACCTTAACAGAGCCTGTACTAGTCTTGTCTTGGCTGATCCTTTGCAAATACCTTAAGGGCGGTACTACTACTGAACACCCTACTTTAAAATTCTATTAGTAAAGCCAAATTTAGAGACACATACAAAAAAAAAAAAAGCAAAATTAAAAACGTCATATTTAAAACTCTTATGCCAAAGTTTGCATGTCACATGCAAAATCAGGCTGAAAAGTACTTCTGCTGGTATAAGTTATGCAACATTTGGCAAAAAGAATTCATCTTGGAGATATTACTGTCAAAGGTCCATGCTGGACCAGGACTGCTGAGTACTTTGAAAAAACACAGACCAGGTCATATTACAGCTTGGTTCACATAGCTAGCTACAAAGTAGAGCTAGTATATGGAACTGGACAGAAGATACAATGAGAGACATTATTCCCACTTTCCGTAATGCCAAATTGTGATTTGCAGCCAATATCTGCTCTTCTCCAGAGGCAAAGAACAAATATTAGCAGTCAGCCCTTTAGGACCAATCATATTTGAAACAGGAGATGGCTATGAGGGAGACTAATGTTTAGCCATTAAGCTACTACTGAAGGCTCAGAAAGAATGCATGTAAACTTTGTCTTTCACTGTTGATGCAGTGACTTTTAAACAGATTCATGATACTTAAGGTGATTTACAGAGGGCTCCTGATGGGTAAAGTAAACAAAAAAAGGTGAGATCAGAGTCCTCAGGCTTTGCATAACAAAAAGTTATTGAACGTCTGAAGCCATGCTTGGGGGCTTTTTGCAGCTATTACACTTTTACTGAAGAGTAAAACAAAGGACATCCATATATTTGGGGAATCCTACTTACAAGCAAAAGCCAGTGCAGAAGTTTAGTCTAGAACACAGCAAATGCAAGCACATGCAAAGCAAGATATTAGTAGTCCTTTTGCTGTTGCAGAACTCTGCTTACAGAACTAGTTCCTGCTACTAACAATTTGCCAAATACCGTTACCATTTTCTGTAACTTAAAAACAAACAAACAAACAAACAAAAACAAACTCCAAGCGTTAAATGAACAATTGAAGTTACTTGATTTCCCAGAGCTGAGGTTTAGGTTACTAGTCTTCTGTCCCAAGCAAACTCTTACTGAAATTATTTCGTTGCTATTTTTGTCATTACATCCACAAAAACGAACAGAATGGATTTGGCATTAATATAGAAATATGGACTACCTAAATTTAGTTTACTGACGATGTTCGGCTCTGCTTCAGTCAAATCAGGTGCAAAAAAAGAATAGCACCTTAATGAAGTCAGAACAGACGAGGAAGTCAGAATAGACAAGGAAGAGCAGGCCAAGGACTTAACCTATACAGAAACTGAAGAGTTTATCTGAAAAATAAACGTGCACTCAGAGTAGCCAGCATTAACAACTTTGAATCAGAGATTAAACTAGATCAGATGTGGTGCTGTTTCTGGAACACGAAACTAAGGCGGCCCTTTTTTGAGATCTGGATCTAGGTAGAGCAAAATTCCTGCTTTGCTGATTTTACAACTACTACACGTTCCTTTGATACTAGAGAGTGTGCTAGAGTATATGGACTGCAAAAAGAGCATAGAAAAGCCAAAGCTACTTAACATGCAGAAGGCTGATGTTGAGCCAAGTGTGACACAGTAGCACACGCTATCAATGCTTCTAAAAATAGCATGCATCTTTGCTAGGTTTCGAAAGAAGACACTCTGGGCAGTGTTTCCAGCTAAAACGATGCCAAGTACCAAAGCAGTTCGCATTCAGCAAGAGAAGTTAAGGCTTTTTATTTATTATTTTTAAATATGTTTTACATGATTGGGAGATTTATATTGCAGATTCAGTACCGCAGGAACCGAATCTCTCCCTTTTTCAAATTGCCAAGGCAGCTATTAGTGGCTGAGAGAGAACACTCTTGCTGTAGGTACAAAGAAAGTTGCTGATGGGCACTTTGCCAAGATCTGTTTTGTTATGGAACTCACTTTTCATCTGCACTAACGATTCTGACAGATTTCTAGGCATGCCATAAAACCATCTTTTCTCCTAGGCACCTCAGGCTCAGAAGGGAAAGCCCAAGATGACATAACCTTTAACGATGTAAGTCCTCTGACTCCAATAACTTGGTTAACTTTTGTACGACTTCACTAGCAGGA